GCAGGCTCCAGGTTCTGAGCTGTCAGCACAGAGCCCGATGCGGGCCTCAAACCCATGAACCCTAAGATCATGACCTGAGCCGAAGTCAGACACTTAACTGACTGAACCACCCAGGCGCCCCTGGGAACTTTCTACAGTTGAAGCGATGGAGTGTGTACATGTGGGGCAGGGAGAGGTTGTTGGGGGTGGAAACAATAGAAATCAGCCTGTACTAGCTCTACATTCTGGACAGATGGTGGTGCCACTACAGGAAATGAGGAAATGCAGACTTTAGGAAATGAAAGTGGGCCAGGGTGCCCACCCCTGGCCTCCTCCCCTGCCTGGCCAAGTGGTATTCCCCTCTGAAGATCCAGCTCCTCTAGGAGTCTTTCCTCCCCGGCTGCAGGGGCTGCTGCTGCTGCTGCTGCTGCAATCTAGCAAAGCCCTAAGCTCACCTTCACAACACTTCCCATGTGGTGCTGTAATTGCCCATCTCTCCTACTTGGGTAAGAGGAAGCCAAAGATCTGACCTGCCCAGGGCGGGAAAAGACTGTGAGACTCACATCACAGAGGCCCTGGAATCTCTACGTTTAAGGAGGATGAAGGCTCAGGGAGGGAGGGTGCAGTGGAAGAGGAAGAGGTGCCCCTTGAGAGCACCATACACAGTGCCTCAGGGCTTGCAAAGTGATGTATTAAGATCTCTATCTCTTTTGTTAAGAAGTTCAAAATAACCAGACTTATGGTGAGTAGCAGGAAGACTCCACCTCCATTCTATATGGTTCCAAGATTTGGGTTATACACAGTAACTAGATCATTTTCTTTTATTTATACACGAGTATATTTTATAATTAGAACTACTTTAATTTTCTCTCTCACATACACAAACACACACATATATACATCTCACCCCCCACCCAAGTAACAGCGTAGAAATATGTATAAGTTTGGAACCACAGGAATACTTGGTTCAAATTCTGAATATGCCACTTTTAAGTCATGCAACCTCCAGGACCTACTTAACATCACTGTGCAACTCCTCTGCTATGAACTGGAAAGAATTTTAAGTAACTCATACAATTGTAAGTATTAAATAAGATAGTATTTGTGGAAACCGCCTTGTGATCTTTATGTAGAGAATGTTTAATTTGATATTTTTACATGGATGTAGATACAGGACTACTTAAATTGTGTTCCAAAGAAACTACATTTAAAATTGGCTTTAAGTGAACCTTTTTGAAAAAAATTGATATAATTGACATATAACATTATATTAATATCAGATGTACATGATTCAATATCTACACTTGTAAAATGATCACAGGAAGTCTACTTATCTATTACCATACATAATTATAAAATTTTTTATTCTCATGATAAGAACTTTTAAGATCTGCTCTTGGCAACTTTCAAATATACAATATAATGTTATTAACTATAGTCACCTTGCTGTATAGGACATCTTCATTTCATTTTATAATGAAGTTTGTACCTTCTGACTTCTTTTAACCATTTTTCCCACTTTGACACCCCACTTCTGGCAACCACCAATCTGTTCTCTGTATTCTAGGACCTTTTTTTTTTTAAGATTCCATATGTTCATGAGTTCATATGGTATTTGTTTTTCTCTGACTTATTTCACTTAGCATAATGCCTTCCAGTTCCATCCATGTTGTTGCAAAGGGCAAGATTTCCTTCTTTTTTGTGAATAATATTCCATTGCATAATACACCACAATTTCTTTATCCATTCATCTGTGGATGGACACTGAAGTTGTTTCCAAAACCGTTTTCTTATTAGAGATTTTATTTTTTTAAGTAATCTCTACACCCAACGTGGGCCTCAAACTCACAACCCCAAGATCAGGAGTTGCATGTGCCACTATCTGAGCCAGCCAGGGACCACCCCCTCACCAGCTGTTTTCTTAAACATTAGTCCTATCTTCTCATAGTTCTAAGTCTCAAAGTCATTCAAATGAAACAATGTGCAATAGGATTACTCTTAATTATGAACATTTATTAAGCACCAAGAGTATACTGCAATGGTTGCTATACAAAAACATAATTAACAATATAGTGTCCCTGCCATCGAGCTTACATTCTAAAATGAAATACAACAATAATGCTGTAAGCCTACCTCAAAATTTCCTTAACTTAGAAATGGCTATTTTGGCAAGTGAGGCAAAATGACCTATCATTTTAGGTACAATATTAATAAGGCTTTGAACATGATCCAAAGAATGTTTTACTTGTACCCAGACATTTCCCCCAATTATGTTAGGCTTGGTATGAAAAAGAGCACTTAGAAATTGGGTAAGAACAATGAATTATTTCAAATTGCCTTGTAGGACTTTAAACAGAGAAATGCTTACTAGCCTGAGTTTTTCCACAGCCAGGGAAAACCCCATGAAAAGTATTATGAACTCAACCAAGTCTTCTATTCCACTTGCAACTTTTCGACTTCCTCTTCCTTTCCCACAGGTAAGGGCTCCAATGATGTCCCTTATCAAGGAAGGAAGTATTGCATCTAGACAAAATACCCTAGAGTACTAAAACTTCCAGGAAATACCAATTCTTATTTTAAAAGAGTGAGCAAAGACAGTAGTGGGACATCTGGCTACAGGAGAGGCCTGGCTGTGTAAGATATGTAAACAAGCTGAGCTGAGTTCATGCATCTTCAAAATGATTAAGACTATGGGTAAATGGTTGCTCTTCTGTTCCTTATTTCTGCCGTAGGGGTATTTGAGAATTTAGCATCAAGACCCCAAACTGCCAAAGCCTGTACTATTTGGCCTATATCCATAGTATAGTATTTAATAAATACTTTCAAGGTTTTCCTTGCTGGTTACATATTAGCTGATGAAGGCACACAGAGGGATTTTGATTCTTACTGTCCAATGCAAAGACTGTTTTAAACTTCTGAGTATATACAGTCTTAAACTATATATTGTTTATTTTCAATCAGTGATAATTCTTTGAACTCTAAAAGAACACTAAAAAATAATTGGTTATAAGTTATCTGAAAACCAAGATAGAATTTACTCTTGTAAAGTGCATGCACAAACTTTTAAAAAATACATGCATACAAATACTTTAATGGCAGAGTGAGTAGCATCCTGAGGTGTTTTTTTTTTTTTTAATGGCAAAACAGTATTTCAGCAATTTTTTAAAAAACCAATACTTTCCTCCTTAGAAGTCTGTCTTGGGAACTTACTTTTAAATGAAAAATAGCAGCAGCAACATTTAACAATTGCTCACAAAATTTGCATTGCAAACAAGTTTGCCAAGAAAGAATGGTCTAGAAACTTTAGGATAAACTTTTATTTTATTATTTTTTTTAAAAATTTTTTTTTTCAACGTTTATTTATTTTTGGGACAGAGAGAGACAGAGCATGAACGGGCGAGGGGCAGAGAGAGACGGAGACACAGAATCGGAAACAGGCTCCAGGCTCTGAGCCATCAGCCCAGAGCCCGACGCGGGGCTCGAACTCACGGACTGTGAGATCGTGACCTGGTTGAAGTCGGACGCTTAACCGACTGCGCCACCCAGGCGCCCCAGGATAAACTTTTAAAAAACATTTTATAAAGTAGAATGATTCACTACTTTTGATCTAAAATTGACATTTAAACATCCCCTTCCAATTTAAAAATGTCATTTTTACCTCCTACTTAAATAAAATCCAATTATGAGATTTGAAATGAAAAACTTGAAACACATATCAATATCATTCTTTTAATAAGATGACAAAAATTAATTTCAATGTGTTTCCCAAAAAAAGGAGAGGAAAAAAAAATCTCATCTTAGTGGTGGCAAATGAATTTGGGTTTACAAATCTCAATCAATGCACTTATTTTTGGTATTGCACGAAACAGCTAGGATTCCTGAATTAAGTATGTTTCTAAGGCAAGGCAAGTTTGATTATGTATGAAGCACAGATATTAGTCAGCATGGTTATAAAGGCAAGAAGACCAATACATATAAATTCACTTGTTTTTAAGCGATACATTCTAAGCTACATAAAATTTAATTTTGTGTCCTATTCTAAGACTACATCTTTGACCTTAAGCTTAGAAGCATAATTGCTGTAATCCATTAAAAAATACTTCATTTTTTCCAATATTGTAAAGTGTACTGAATTTTCAAATGTCTAGTATAAATTTTTTTTGCAAAAAATTTAAAAAGGCATACTATTAGCTAGCTATAACTACTATGTTAAGTAACTGTATGAAGGAAGAGTTTCACAAGGAGAACAAAATATAAAACTAAGCATAGTAATTATTGAATTTAACAAAAAATGAAATCAAGTAGTTTTGAATGCACTTGTTTCTTGTCTTAGTAATGTGTATATTCATTTTATAACTACTAGTTTGATAAACATACTAACATTCTACAAGATTTGTTTTTCTTGGTTGGTTATTTTTCTTCCTTATATCCTCCCCAACAGCTGTTGGAATTTATTTTCTTTCAAATACAAAGTAAAATAATGTTTCTATTGTATCTGAGTCATGTGAAAGCTGACTCCCTATTTTCATTTTTAAAAGTTAAATTAATTTTTTTGGACCTTGATTAACATGTAACATTTAACCATGTGTTTTTGCTGTTAAGTATAGTCTACATTTCAACAAACTGATAGGGTATTTAATAAAAGCATCATGATCTCATCTGTGTTTTAAATATGATTACACAAGCTTTTTTTCTTTTTTAATGAGAAAAAGGAGATAAAGAAAACCATTCATATAGGCCCTCTTCACGCTCATTTTGAGATACAGCTTTAAACAGGGTGGACCAAGTCAAGTAATGTTGGTAATCTCTTTTCTTTGCACAGAAGAGAAAAAACAAAAGAAAGGAAGTTATTTCCTTCCTAAGGTCTCAGCTAGTTTCTTAAGTCTTTTCTTCAGCTCCAACGGAAATTTCTCATAGCACTTCTTACAGACTGGCTTCATGTCAAACTCCACAAATTTATTCCTAAAGACAGTAACAATAATAAAAGAAATCAGTAGAAAGGTATTTAATACAGATATATAAATAATGTGAGGTAATTTTACTGAAGTAAATGAAGATGCAATATGGTGACATTAATATTCATAGCAAAAAATGAATTCTAATCTTAATTCTTGTCATTGTGGAGATGTAAAAAAATTATAATACCATTGGGAAAAAAATTGTCCTTATAAATTGATCTTATACATCTCTCTGTTTAATACAGAATGTACATTACATTTTAGTCCGTGCTCACATGTATGCAGGAAATCTAATGTCAATATAATTTAGGTAAGTAAAGTCAATCACATGTTAATGTACCACAAGAACACTTTAAAGAACAGTTATTAAAAGCCAGGAGTTGTATTTTTGTAATGTGAATGACTTTCTCTTTGTTGAAGGCAATATCATTGTACTTAATACTTTAAATTAGGGAGCTATAGGTTTTATCTTTCCTTGCATGAAATGATTTGCCTCCTACCTCCAGCACCAAAAAAATTATCTTCAAAAAAATCTGAAATCATAAAAATCTGAAATGGTTTTTTGGTTGGTTGTCTGACAGAAAAGTTGGTAGGGGAGATATAAGAATGTTTTTAGTCACTCTTAAAAAACAGAAATGAAATAGATTGCCTGTGGTTCCATTTTGTGAATGGTTAGCTGTATGGAGAACTCAATGTTTTAAAAGCTAGAGCAATACACATTATCTATCAATTTGTTTGTAAAACAGTTCTGGAGAGCACAGGTTTCTAGACAGCCTCCTAAGTATCTGTCATGCATTTCCACTTGGTAATACCATTACAATCGCTCATTACTGTTGAAATCGAGGGTCCTAAACTGTGAACTGAGTATATGCACAACCTTGTAACTTTTGCATTTTCCTAACTTGTATTTAGACAGCATTTCTGGAACAAATTTAGTGGTACTTTGTTATCTATGACAAATGATTAAATCAGGTGATGTAATTTTAAAGAATAAGGTTAATAACAAAGTTAATTCCTACTATATTTAAAATGAAAAATCTTTTATTTTACAGCATTACATGGAAATTATTCTCTATTTTTCACAGAGCTCTTGATGCTGATAGAAATTCAAATGATCTTATTTTTCCATTGACAATTTGATTTAAATAGTACTAATGAGTTACAATATTCTCCCAAAGACTTCTTAGAACAAAAGCTATTAAAACTGCCATTTTTTTTAATGAGGGAAATAAATTATCATTGCTTTCAGAGATACTGCTAAGCAAACCTTCAATTGTTTTAATTTATATTTGAATTTTAATTCCTCTTTATAGAAGGAAACACGAGAACTGGAACAATAAAAAACTTTCGTTGGAGTGCAGAACACAGTGATAACCATGAAGAAAAAAGCACAATCATGCTAGGAATTCAACAGAATTTCAAAGATTGAAATATTTCCCATAAAAATCAGGAATAAAGTAAGTAGGCTTTGAAAACATCAAGAAAATGAATCCATAAACAGTAGCATATGGGTACTCTGTGAAAGCAGATTACATACACCAAAGACATTAGAGCTCTTATTATGTACAGTAGATGGTCTTTGCTTAGATATGAAACATGTTGAAAGGATTTAACTTAATGCAGAACTTAGAACATGTGATGACTGGAGTTTATCAATTAAATCATTTTAGGCAAAGAAACTGAAAACCAGGATTTTAAAAGCTGCAATTATCAGAGAAAAATACTTTAAAACTTTCCCTAATATCTACTAAATAGAGATTGGAATTCTTCCCTTTGAATCTACTTAAAAAAAAAAAGAAGAATCTTAGTAATTACCCAAAAGGCCCAGCTCTACAGAGGACAACTACTTGTATTTCCATCTCTGGCGGCTACAAACACATGCCAAAAGGAAGAGACAACAAAAAAGCAAGAGACAAAAAGAGAACAAAACACATTCTAAAGGACTAACCAAAGAAGAAAGTAGTGAAAATGATGATAGAAGGGACAGAAAAGTTTACAAACAGACTGGCTTTTTCTTTTTCTGCTTGTCCTTATCCTTTGCTTCTCTCTCCCGTTTGGCAAGTCGCCTCTTAAATTCTTCTGGCATTTTTTCATAACAGTGTTTGCAGACTGGTTTGAGATCAATTTCAACAAACTTATCCCTTTGAGCAGGACAAAGAAGGAATAGAAGAAACAACATAAAACAATTAAAGGAAGAACCTTTACATTCAGAGACCTAAATAGAAAGAATAAGGAATCAGATAATTATTTTTAAAAATACTCTATTTAAAAAAATGTTAACCTAAAGTTTTGGTCTTAGGATTCACACGGGACTAAACCGCAGACTTACTTGAGTGTTAATTTAGTGTTGCAGGTAGAACAGGCAAAACAGTTCACACACCAGGCCTTATTCAGAGCAGAGACCACTGGAGAAAGAGCAAAGACACATGGTCACACACTTTGGCGTTCAAAGTGGCAGAGCTGACATCCTCAACTCAAACAGAGCTAAGGGTGCCTCCACAACACTTAGAAGAGGTTCTGAGAGGCTTTTTTGCAAAAGAATTCACAGGACTAATTTACTGAATCAATCCTATTAATAAATTAATTAAAGGCTATTTTTTCACATTATTAAAAAAACTGAGCACTTAATGTCTTCCGTGACTGTAGGGTTCATCTTAAGGAAGATTACCATTGCCTTTTTCAATCTTTATTTATAGTTAAAACTTTTCTTCTTCCCTTTAGAGTATCCTGTGAGGCACATAAACAGTATGTACCATACCTTCCCGCCAAAGCCTGCCCTCTCACTCTGTGCATGGTGCGGTGTGTATTTAACATGCATTACGTCACTCAGATGAGCTTTTCTGGCACAGGCCCTGCCTACCAGCACAGTCTCCACTACCACTGGCCCAACAAAGAAATATAGACTAGATAAGTAATTAAAAAACAATCCAGACGTTAACTTATTTGCCTGTCTTCCATAGCTGACAAAAAGGAGAGCTTCCTTTGACAGCTTCTTTCACCTGACCACTATGTCACATAGGAGGGAGCTAAGTTTTATTTTCTATGGCACTAAAGATTGCTCTCCTGAAGTAATCCTTTTGCAAACTGCATCATGGGCAGTGTTTCACAAAGTATTTCCCAGGTTGGGTTTTCTGACGAGAAACACGAAGCATGTTGAAAACAGGAATGTTTAAAACTTTGCCAGAAAGTTTCTGGCAAAACTGTTCTAGTGGCTATTAGCAAACACAGCTGCTTCCTTTCTGTCCCAGTTAATCAGCCCTGCCTACTTACAATACAAGGCTGGTAAGTGCTAGAAATGTCTACAGAAAACTGCCAGGTTTTAGCATCTGCAGGGTTAAAGTGACTCTCACTAACTACCAAGGCAGATTAAGCTGTTCCTAATAAACACTGCTCTACAGCTTCCAAGTTCTATAAATCCAGGGCATGGAAATAGAAACAGATCTCAAGGTTGGCCATGAATGGTTCACACAATACGTACTGTAACAAGCCTGAGGCACTGCCCTAAAGTATTGTCATAAAGGAGTAACAAATCCAACTTGTACGATATTATCATCTCTGCTATGAATTACTTGAGAAATATGCCAAAGAAAAAGTAACTGATAATGGTCAAATGACAAATAGTAATCAATCTCTTTCTGTTTTTGTGTCATAATTTTGACACAAAATTATGCCATATAAAATCCCTACAGATACTTACCATCACCTTCTATAACACGGTTACAGTGGAAACAAACATCACCAAATAGCTGAGAATGAAAAAAAAAAAGTGGTAAAAATTCAAGACCTGTTAAACTAAGGTTTAGAACACCAAACATTTAACATAGTTTCAGTTCTTTCTATCACTTAAAAATAAACAGCTGGCTACCTAGATCCAGAATTTACCCTTATTAGAGAAAATGAGTAAAGTGCATTGACTAGTTTTTACTTTTTACAATGAAGATAATTTACTTTTCATCACTATCAAAACCCAGAAAATGGCTTTGGAAATGTCCCAGATTTAAGGAGGCTAAAGGAAATGACAACCCTAGACTGGCTCTAGTACTGAAGTGGAAAAAAATGATTCAATGACATTATGGGTTCAAGTGACAAAATTGGAATAAATATAATAAAGTATTATATCAATACTGATTAACTATGATTATGTGAGACCACTCCATATTCTTGGGAAATAAAAACTGAAGTATTTAGGGGTAAAGGGCCATGATGAACTTCTGAAATACTTCAGAAAAAAATGTGTGTATATATGAATACATACATTTGTATATGAAGATCTGTGCATTTATTAAGTGTGTGTTTTTACAGAAAGTGGGCCAATGCAAATGATGAAGTAAAAGGTACATAGGTATTCTTCATATTTTTATTTTACAACCTTTCTGTTGACTCTGAAGTTATTTCCCAAGTAAAACATTAAAAAGTAAAATCTATAGTCCAATGTACATTTTCCAAGAGCTTTCCTTGTAGCTAAAATATTAAGCTCAAACTTATAAAAGTATATCTAGTATCCAATAAGTATGATCAATACCTGGTTATAGTGGGTTTCACAATATGCCAGGCCTTTCCTTTCATAATGTCGATGTCCAAGAAATGGCTTTTCACACTTGGCGCAAACAAAATGCTGAAAAAAATTGCTAGAGGTAATTTTTGAGCTGCCATATTTTACTTATTTAATAAAGTAAAACCCCAAAGTTAAATTATTCTCAGAGAAGGTACATGAAAGTTTGAGGTAGTTATTTCATTTGGCCAGGGGTAACCTGGGACACTTTCAGTCTTAACTTAATTCAGGTGTCTTGAGTTTTTGACACGTTACTTTAAGATACAGCCTTTTTAAACAACACAGAATGAGAAAAGAGGTCAACATGTTAATATCATCTATAAGGGAGGGGCTGCTGCTGGAAATGGACCATGACACTCCTGCCTCGAGAAGGATTTAAGAACAAAAAAGCACACCCTATATCATTACTGAGAGATCACAAAAGTGTGTATATTCTGTATTCTTAATTTTCTACAACGTCATTTGTCTTGAAAATGTCCGTATTTAATCTTTAGAATTTCCTAATCTTGCCACCACCTCTGAATGATGGAAATTCAAAAGTACTAGTTAACCCTTCCACCATTTACGACTCACCTCCACATGCCACTGCTTCCCCATAGCATTCACCACGCGCCCTTCAATGGGCCGTCGACAAGCGCCACAGATGGGGACCCCCATTTTATCATGGCACGGCAGACAGTACAGCTCTCCTTTCAGCTCCCGGGCATCAGCAGTCAGCTCCTTCCTGTCCATGAGAAATATATCCAACTGAATACTACTACTGAGAGAGAAAAACAGGCAACTGAGGAGACTGACATACTTTTTAGCAGGTTTTTGAAGATCTCACTATAACAATCCCCATAACCTTCTTTTCCCCACTCTTAGTAGTGCTCACAGTAACCTAAATTAATAGGCTTGAACCGGTTTCAGATTCCTATCAAAACATCAATGTCAAGCAATAATGATAAAATGTACAAACAAATATATACCATCACATTGGTCATATTTATCACTTCCTTGTCTATGATCACATGATAGTCCTTTTGTCTTCCTGAAAAAGCTAGAGAAGAATCATCACGGTGCTTGGGACAGACTTGGAGATGTTATCTTTACAAAATAACTGAGGTCTAAAGTTAGAGATTAGCTCCATTTACTAACAATTATTTAAACTGTCACCAGCTTTTAAGTTACAGGTTAACAGAAAATAAAAGAAATGCCCAGAACCTTCCTTCCCACAAATGCTTAAGTTCACTATTCTTTTCAGTCTCCTGCATCAATATTAACATTTAGGCAGAGGTGGCCCTAATTAGCCAAATGGACTTGTTTACATTTCATCTGTTTTAAGTAATTCTCCAGAAGTACTAATGACAAATGAACAGAGAAAAATTCCACCAAAGGGAAATAGGCAAGAAAATGAAATAAGGTACAAACTGATAATCCCAAAATAAATGAGGTGGCTATACTCATAGCACAAAGCTGTTTTCTTGATCTTTAGCTTACCTTATCTCTGTCCACCCCCACTATAATTTAGCATGTATGTTCAAACTGATTATAGTAAAGTAACTTTTCCCGTTAAATTTTTAGATAGCAAATTTAAAAAATCATAGCTGAACAATTTATGAGTCTTTGAAGAAAAAAAATCCCTTTAGAAGTAAATAAAATTAAATAAATGTAGTTTAAGATATTTTAAGATAATACCCTAAGTATTACAACTGTAAAAGTTATATATGTACAAAGAGAAGACTTTTTAAAGGTTTGTTTTTTTTTTTAAATCCTGTATTGAAAAAGCACAGTGATCAAAACAGTTTTTGGGATAACTGAATTTTACCACTAACTGAATACTAAAGGTATATGTGTATATGTTATATGTACACACACACAGGGTGTGGGGAGAGTGTGCTGCACACACTCAAATGTGGCAAAATGTTAAGTGATGAAACTCAATGATGGGTATGTAGGTATTCTTTGTATTAGTCTCTTGACTTCTATATAGGTTTAAAATGTTCCAGATTACAAGGTGGAGAAAAACAATCTGGTGTGCTGGAGTAAAAGATACAGAAAAAAAGTGATGTTTTACTTTATTTCCACGATTTGTGCAATAAAAAGGGAAGAAATTGCAGTACCCGCAGTTGGCACAGTTGAAATGGTCTGGATGGTAAGGGTCATTCTTGAATATCAGCGGTTGCTCATCGATGATGGCGTGGCATTTCTGGCAGATGTATTTTCCAAGGCCTCTGGCTTTCTCACGATTATGACAGGGGCGACATAGATGTCTAAACAGAGCCAACACTTTTTTAGAAACTTAAGTTTAAAATCTGAGGTTCTAATAGTTAAAAAGAAATATGCTTCTCATGTCTCTGAAAAGAAGTGAATAATTTAAAAAAAAATCACACTTGGCTTAACAGCAGAATCAAGCCACTATTTTTTACATGAAAATTTATTTATTCCAACCCAAGTAATCCAACTGATCTTTAAGAAACTCCATCTTAACTATGTATCTCCCTTTTGTTGGCCCAGGGACACAAATTCTAGGGTCCTCTCCTAACAGCCGCCAGATGAGCCAATACAGGCTGCAGTCCCCATACCTTAAACTCAGTGCCTGAAAGCACCTCCTCACAGCCCTAGGGGAAAACAGGCATGACCTTGCAGTAGTTACTTCTCCACCCACACCTAACAAGGATGGAAAACTCCTACCTCCCAGCATTCTTGACAAATCCAATATCTGCCAGAACTTCCTGGCAGAGGTCACAGCGGAAGCACTCAGGATGCCAGCTGTTATTCATGGCTTTGATAACTCGGCCAATGATGAATTCACCTGTGGGAAAGGAACACACAAAGGATGTCCAGGGTGCGTCTTATTGCTGAAAGCAGTAAGGCAAAAGACGCAAGGAAAAAGAACACATTTAAACCTTTCTCCACAACTAGGGACTTTCTACATACATATCGACCACAGTAAGCACTGCATTAGGAAAAAACTCTATTTCATCTGAGTCCTTAGTTTTGATTCTGTGGTCAAATTTTTGGGCTGTCTTATCACATCTCTGAATCTGATTTTCCTTTTCTCAATGATACACTGGGCTCTCTCAAATGCCTTTTGTTTATTTCTGGTCATTGCTGACACAGCACATTTTCTTGAAGCCTATACTTAATTTCTTCTTTCACTAAACTTTAGAACATTCTACTCAGTTTCTCCAATTTCTGGAAACTCTCTAGTAAAGCTGCTAGCAACCCATGAGGTGGCTAAAATGCAAGCAAGTTAAACACTTGTGTTACACACAGCAATCCTTAAGCATGTGAAGCACCCCTCCAATGTTTTCCCTGTCTCTCTCTTGGCAACCTCAAAAGCGAGTAAAGGCTGAATTAACAGGGGACAAGAATATTCCAAAGGATCATCTAATAAAAGTCCTAATCAATCCCCAAAAAACTTTACACTAGATGTCCTTAAAAAGCATTTCTCTCTGGGTTTTGATACTCTTCCAGTTTGTTACATATTAATGATAAGGAAAAGGATGTATAAAGTACTTGAATGCTATTTATAATGAGCACTAAACACCATTTCCACCATTGACATAATTTTGAGACTCACTTTTTACTCTGCTATTCAGCAGTAAAACTTACCACACTGATGACAGCAAGGAGCAAAGAGCATCTGAAAGTCATGTTCACAGTACTTCCTTCCTTCAAACTGAAATAGAAAGTACCATCAGCTTGTACAGATGAAACAATCACAGGATGAATATAATTATTCTGTGGAGACATATGGAAAGATGTTTTTGAACTAAGAGCTCTGCCCTAAGAATTATAATTCTACTGAGATGTTTAAAAGCAGATGTACTTTTGTACTTTCCCTACACCTACCTGCATGTGGGTACAGGAAAGATATACTCAACAACTGGTACTATGGCTCCAGAGTACAGTGAACTCCCTGTAACAATGATGAACTATTTTCCGGCTTGCAGACTCACCTTTAGGAGTCTAATGAGAGCGGTGGACTCCTCTCCCTAGAAAATACACATATATACACAAACCGTTTCCCACTTTTTTTACGTTGATATCTGAAATGTTGTATTATAAACTTAAATATTTACAAAGGGTAGATAGTCTAGTATATTTTAGATCTAAACATTTTAAAATGAGGCCAAAACCCATTAAAAATATTCTGTTTTAGGGGCGTTTGGGTGGCTCAGTCGGTTAAGCGTCTGACTTTGGCTCAGGTCATGATCTCGCAGTTCATGGGTTTGAGCCCCACGTCGGGCTCTGTGCTTTGGATTATGTGTCTCCCCCTCTCTCTCTGCTCCTCCCCCATTCATGCTCTATCTCTCTCTGTCTCTCAAAAACTAAACGTTAAAAAAATTTTTTTTTAATTCTATTTTAATAGTTGGAAAATTCACATCCTCTACTTCTCTCCTTGAACTATTTCCATTTCATTTCCCACAAAGTTTTATCCTGGTATGATATTTTTTCCTAAATTCCATACTAAAGTCTTTAACAGATCACCCTACCATACTTCTCGGCAATTAAAATGTATATAACAAAACTTTAAAATTTGTTTTACTACCTGAACCCATGAACTCTAAAAGCTAAAAACATTCTTTTTATTCTGGATTAAGTTATCATTATAATTATTAGTACACAAATAGTTAAAACATGAATATGTGTACAAATGTCAAATTTTACTTTCTATTTGTTTACTTAAAAAGCCTATTGTGGAGCACCTGGGTACCTCAATTGGTTAAGCACCAGACTTCGGCTCAGGTCATGATCTCACAGTTCATGAGTTGTAGCCCTGCATCGGGCTCTGTGCTAACAGCTCAGAGCCTGGAGCCTGCTTTGGATTCTGTGTCTCCCTCTCTCTGCCACACCACTGCTCACACTCTATCTCTCAAAAATAAACATTAAAAAATTAAAAAAAAAAGAAAAGTGTCTCTTAATGAGATGAGCAGGGGTCCCCTTCCTCTCACAATTATTCCATGTATCCACAGATAAATAGGACTTACCAATGGAAGAGTTCAACATGAATTTCTATTTTGGGGGCTGCTTTTTACCCTCTTCACATAAATAAGTCGTGAGAATTATAGCATGTCTCCCTTTGAATCTTTGAACTCCTTACAATGTTCACATATTGCATATTGTTTGACTATCAAAATCCATTTTTAGTGATGTAGCAGTAGTCAACTAAATTTGGTCAATTGTGGAAATTAGCTGCAGATTTAGCTCAATTTATTGAACATATCCACTATAGCTTAATCTGCAGACCAGCCCAAGTAGATTTATTTTGTGCCAGAAAAAGGCTTACTTCATTTTGAAATTCAAATGGATGAACTCTAATACGTTTAATGAAGCTGTTTTTTAAAAAAAAATTTAATTCATGTTTATTTTTGAGAGACAGAGCATGAGCAGGGAAGGGGCAGAGAGAGAGGGAGACACAGAATCCGAAATAGGCTCCAGGCTCTGAGCTGTCAGCACAGAGCCCAATGTGGGGTTCAAACTCATGAACCGTGAGATCATGACCTGAGCGGAAGTTGGACACCCACCTGGGTGGGTGAGCCACCTAGGTTGGATGCCCCCGGTTTTTTTTAAATTTTTAAATTAATGCAATGAATCTGTTTTCAGAAGTTACAAACAGATAATCATAAATTGATATGCTATATTACCCAGTTCTCTGTCCTAATGCACTGTGGGTAGCCCCAACCAGAAGTTATTTATGAAGTAAATATGTTCCTTTATTGGATGTTACAAACATATATAGAAATCAGATGTTTAGCTTTTAGCAGTAATCAAAAAAAGAAATCAAGGGGTGCCTGGGTGGTTCAGTCGGTTGGGTGACTGACTTCAGCTCAGGTCATGATCTCATGGTCTGTGGGTTCGAGCCCTGCGTTGGGCTTTGTGCTGACAGCTCAGAGCCTGGAGCCTGCTTTAGATTCTGTGTCTCCCTGTCTCTCTTCTCTTCTTCCCTTTGTGTTCTATCAAAAATAAACATTAAAAAATTTTAAAAAAAGAGAGAAATCAAATATAAAGACTCAGAAACAACTCCACTGATTTAGTTGGAACCGATAAACTTTTTTATCAGCTACCCGAGTCTTTTGTTTAATTTAATTTTTTTTTATATTTATTTATTTTTGAGACACAGAGTGAGACAGAGTACAAGCAGGGGAGGGGCAGAGAAAGAAGGAGACACAGAATCTGAAGCAGGCTCCAGGCTCCAAGCAAGCGTTCAGTACAGAGCCTGATGTGGGGCTCAAACCTATGAACTGTGAGATCATGACCTGAGCCGAAGTCAGTCACTTAACCGACTGAGCCACCCAGGCGCCCCATCGGCTACCCTAGTCTTAATCCATGTTGAAAGACTGGGCTCAGAACTGTTGGTGTCAACTGGCCATGTAGCTTTATTCTTTTTTTTAAAGATTTATTTTTTATTTTTTATTTATTTTTATTTTTGAAAGAGTGTGAGCAGGGGAAGGGCAGAGAAAGAGGGGAATAGAGGATTTAAAGCTGGCTCTGTGCTGACAGCAGCAAGCCTGATGCAGGTCTTGATCTCAAGAACCATGAGGTCATGACCTGAGCCAAAGTCAGATACTCAACCAACTGAACCACCCATGTGCCCCTGGCCATGTAGGTTTAATAGCAAAGACTGGTTAATGATAACAATGCATCACAACATTTTTAGTAGGAAAACAGAATGTTTTGTGTGCCACTTATGTGTGTGTGGCAGGTTTATTATAATTTTTAAAATCAGTTCTTTTTAATGGAAACAACCAAAA